GAAGGAAGGGGGAGGAAAATGAAAATAGCAGTGGAAAGGAAAAGGAATGGGCCGGCAGCACAGGCAGGCTGTCTGCCGTGTCCTTGTCTGTACACAGAGGAGGTGGAACCCGCGGGGAGGACTGTACCTTGCATAAATACCATGACTTATCCAAAAGAATGGAGAGGCCTGTACAGCTCAGCCACCATCTCATCTCCCTGTAATTAGCATGGGGACCTATTAATTTATCCATGCTGCTGGGCAAAGAGATGAGCTCAAGTCTTCCCAACTTAGAAGCAAATTCCTTTAAAATGCAGGCATCTTCTCCAGAGCTTTCTCATTGCTGGCCTGGTATCTCAGAGGAAGCACGGTGCTGTGGCCACCTTGCTGTCTGCCCTCTGCTCGTGCCCGTGTCCTTCTGACAGCCAGAGCCATCACTTAGCCTTTGGCAGGGGCTACAACATGGAATGGCCTTTAAGACCCAAGGCTACAGCACATGAGAACCTATGAATCAGCTCTGGTATTGCTCTGGCCAGGGTAACTTGTGCCTCAGTTTCATCTAATACAAAATAGCGTACAGCACAGAGGTCGCAAGAAAGCTGCACTTATGGATACACAGCCTCTCCCAAGGCCTCTCAGAACTGCACTCTGTGACTCAGACCTCTCTCTCCAAACAGTTTTGGGCCTGCTGAAGTCCCAGGGGCCAGCCATGCCAAAACTGAATGAACAACAAGTATGAGACTGCCCTTCTGCCTGGACTCTTGTCCAGAAACACTGGAGTCAAGAACACGAGCAGGGTAGGCCCTGCTCCCAGGGCCATGAAACACTGGCTCTAAACGAGATCTAAACAGCTGGGCTGGTACTGCAAAGGAATCTAATTAATTACCCTAGTATTTCACCAGTCTTGGGGAGTGGTTTACTAATGAGTCTAACACAAATATCCCACAGTAAATGCAATACACAATGCAGATGGGAATAATGAAAGTCCAGGGCAGGAGGCGGAGGGTTAGATGTGCTTATGCAATACACAATGCAGATGGGAATAACGAATTCTGGCTGAAAGTCCGGGGCAGGAGGCGGAGGGTAAGATGTGCTCTGCCGAGAAAAGTTCAGACAAAGAATTCCCTGGCAGAAAGAATTCAGTATATTTTGGGACCTAAGCCAAGGACACAGTGTTAGGACTCCCTTTCTACAAAGAAGGAACAAAACCCATGAATGACGCAGTTTTTGCAGTCCACATCAAGCACTCTCTGCTGGAAAGCCAAAGGGAGGAGAGCCATGGGTGTTAACAGGACAGCAGCACTTCTACCACATCTTCTCCATGGCACTAAGGAGCAGGGTGGCAGGATGGGCGGACAACCGCACCCAGGAGAACTTCCATGGAGAGTAAGGATGAGGTCAAGCTGACAGGAGGGGAAAGAGGGAGAGCAGAAAAGGAAGAAAGCAGGTGGGGAGGGTGTGACAGGGTGTGACAGTGCTCATTACAGCAAAGAGTGTAATTGGGCTTCTCTGTAGACTGCGTGGGTTAGGCCCTGAGGGACAGATTATATCTCACATATAATTCCCATACCTTGCAAAAATCCACAGCGATAGAAAGGGATTTTTGTCCCTGCTCAGTGTAGAAAACAGGATGAAGGCAGAAAAGCCTCGAAGATACCATCAAACCCCATTCAGCCACTTCCACGCTGCAGGCTTCTGCTATGTAACTTCCTATTCCACACGCATACCAAAAAACTCATCCCAGTACCTTCTAGCAAATATTAGAACTATAATAAGAAGGTCAAAAGTTATAGTTGTGATGTACACAATGAGTGGGATGGGTAACTTGTTTGGTGAAACTCGGATGATCACAGGAACTGGGTCTGCAGAGACAGAAAAATCTCTTTTCTCATCTCTCCTGTCAATATTCTCTGCTGACCTCGAAATACACCCCAGAAGCCTGGGAGAAAGTAGAGAGAATTTTTCCACTTAGATACTGGATGCCTTTTAGTAAAATTATATATCAGATGTATTTCAGCTCTTCGTGTTTTTTTTTCCCCCTTCCTCAGTTTTTGGCTTTTTTCTGAGCATCCTCTTGACTAGAGATATTTTTTTTTTCCCCCTTCCTCAGTTCTTGGCTTTCTTCTGAGCATCCTCTTGACTAGAGAGATGTTCATCTGACAAGTCACTAAACATGGAGTTCTAGTCCAGCACCAGTTCCCATTGCAGCAGGTGCTGCAAGAACATAATGCTAAGCAAGCAGCTTTCAGAAGAAAATGTCACTGCTTGTTCATTCTTGAATGACATTTGTTAGATATTTTCTCCAAACAATCCTCAATCTAATAGAGGCCTATTAGGTAATCTTCAGAAGAACTTACTATTTTAAATTTGAGGAGTTGGGTTTAATTGGGCAAATCAGATTTCCCAGCATTTCTGTGGACCCATATACCCGAGATAACCTTATAGATTGATGTTTTCTGCAAGGTTATCTCTAAGGCTTCAAAAATCAGCATGTGAGTAGCTTATTCTATTCTATCTCTGTGCCACTGATTCCTGACTTTACTGTCTAGCTGCAATAACTTCTTGACAGCAGCAGAATTGGAAACAGCTGCTTGTCATTACTTAATGACTGTGTTCCTCAAGGCAAATACGAGATTAACAGTAACTGGATTAGCAGAAAATTAATTTTATTCCTGTTCAAAATGAACAGCAACAAAAGAAAACCTCCTGTAATTTATTATTATTTTTTTTAACATATATTCCCTCTCCCCACCTCCTTTTCCACCTATCAGAAAATTTCTTATTTGGCCAAAAGATGATACATTTTTCAGCTGTCAATAAAAGAAGGTATTTTTTAAGTAGCTCCTCTACTCTCTCTGGATTCTTAAATGGTCCCTAAAAATCTGGATCACACGAGTACACCACAACCATTAGAGTATTTTACAGCACAAAATCTCTCTGCAATAAAAAGCTGTTAACATTCTGTTCCTAGTGAGAAACACAGACACACACAAAGACATGCCCCAAAACACAGTTCATTTATGGAAGGAAAATGGGCAAGTCCTAAGATACTGCCTGATCTTTCCCTTTCCTGCAAAGCACAACTGATGAAGCTACCCAATGTTCCTAGGAACATTCCTTCCAATCCATTAATCCAAAGATATGATCATCCAGAGCAAACAAGCTCCTAATAAATACACACACAAATTAAAAGCCATGTACGTAAAATATTCTACCATGCAGTTGGCTCTCTTGACATTCATCTCACCTGATTTATCAGGAAGTATAACTGATGCAGAAGTGTGGGAGGACTGCCATTTCTACGCTTGGCAGAACCTGGGGTTTTCACAAGGCACAACATGTCCAGTCTTGCCTGCTCGAACCAGTTCAAGAGAATTGGGCAGAGCATAAAATACATAACATGCCTTAAGAGGCCTTCTGCAGACAGCAGATGGGGCTGGGGTTACAAGACAACCCTAACACACTAGAAATCTTCATCATTAAAGACTTCCTGTGATTTTTACATCTCTTTTGCATAGAGAAGATGTAATTGTTTCTACCTTCAACTTCAGCATCGCACTCAAATGTTAGGGAAATGCCAGAAATAGGGCTGTCCTCTCTTTAAAGACATTCACACATGTCACCGATTCACACATGTCACAAAGTATGAGCTGATCATTCCCAGTGCACACACATCTTTCATATCTCAGCGACCACATTTTACACATTCAATGGCTGCAAGCACTGTAAGCCAACTGCCTGTCCTCACTGCTGTCAGCAGCTGTCACCTCTCCCCCTGCATCAGTGTCCTCCCCTCAAATATAAAAATCCAATGTGCCCATACCAGGGCTTTGTTCCTCTCAGTCTAGGCCATCCCAACTAGGTCTGCAAATCTTCAGTTAGGGCATTTTCAAAGACGTATTGCTGTCCTGTGCTGGGAAGCTGTGCCTATGGGGATATCAACTCTGTAATGGCTCTCTGACTAGCTTTGCGCTGATCTGTGCAGATGTGATTCAGCAGCTCAGATGTGCAACACAAAGCAAGAGGAATCTCATGCTCAGGGTCTCTCCAACGGCTAAGCCAAACAACCCCTCTAAGGACCCGATAGCAAAGAGGGTGTAGCTCCACCACTGATTTATCTCAATACAGAGGTAGGCTACTGCTGAAGAGAGGAGCCAGCCCTTTCATGCAGCCCTTCCCTTCTCTTGGGCCAGTACCAACAAAGAGAGAAGAACCAAGGAACTGATCCAATCATAACTACTCCTGAGAAAGGGAAAGAAGTATTTTCTGATGGCTAAAAAAACTCCCTGCTCTGTTGCACCATTCGATTTCATAAACAAACATGGCAGGACTGCTTCTCCTGGCAGTGATAGAAGCTCATTCAATGGGAGCAGATTTTTCAGAGTAGATCCAAGAGGAGCCAGACACGTTCTCCTGACCCAGGAGGCAAGGCTTGCAAGCAAGAAAAATCAACTTGTGCACCTTCTCCCTGCTTTTGGATCACCACCATTCACCCACGAGCTGGCACTTCACATGTAATTACAGGCTCACATAACACCATCAGTCACAGCAACCAAACAAATCACTGCTCTTCAGCTGACCCTTAGTAGCTGCCTGAATAGTCACTCTTTGCCTGTGGCAAACAGTTGATCATCAAAATCATGGATTTCACCTCACCTTTATAACCCCACTTGATGCCTGTACTCTTACTTATTTTACTGAACAGGATCTCCTCCAACTGCTCTCATCTGTTAATTTATCTTCCTCTTCTGCTGTCTACAACAGCAGTATCTGAGTGCATCTTGATGAGACATTTCTGTTAAGTTGTTTTCTAATTATGAAACTAATTTGAAAGAAACATAAATAGAAACAACCTCAAAAGAACACAGACATTTTATTTACAGCATGTTGTATCCCAGGAAATCTCTGCTGGAAACTACAAAGAACCAAATTTGTAAAAGTAACACAACACATCAAATTAGCATATCAGTCACTGAAATGAGAAGTAAACCCCAAAGACATAAAACTACTCAGTTACTTACAGTTTGGCTGTGGTTCTGGAGGAAATTTGAGACGGATAATGGCCAAGATTATGAAAACAACCACAGGCCAGGAAATTAAAATGAACGACCATACCTATAAAATAGCAATGAAAATATATTGGTTACATTTGTCGCATTGATGTGTTCCAAAACTTGTCTGGAATGTAAAAGTGCAACCCTGAAAGAGTAAGCTGTAATGCAAATACAGTCTGTCTTGCTACATGCACTATTAAAAAGCAGGTATCCTTATGAAGAAAAGAAAAACTACCTACGTTTGTAAGAGCAAATAACAAGCATGAAAATAACACAAGCCTTCCTATGGAATATTTTCAAAAACAGGAAGCATGTTTCCTATGTTTGGAGATCATTATGGGTGACAATGCTTACACAGCTTTGCCCAACTTGGAGTTGAGCAACAGGACATCTTGAGGCACCACCTGCAAGATATGAGAGCTGAAGTGGAAAGGCTGATTTCACTGCCAGGGTAATATAGCCCTGCTCCAACAATGGCTTAAAGATAGCTGCATTTGATAAATTGTGCTCAAAAAAATGTAGTGTTTGACATAAAAATTACAACTCCATGGCATTTTTTTCCCCAAAAAGTTTCACCATTCTTCACAAACAGTACTTCAACCTATAGTAATAGGGGCAGTACGGCTAAAATGAAGAGGAGATTCATAATATCTGTTTAGAAACTGAGCTCGCAGGAAGGTAGGGGCTTATGCAGTCATTTATCCACTCAGTATTAGAGGCGAGCATTCAAATCCCAGCCATGACAACCTCTTGTATGAGCTGCTAACCAGAGCAACCTAATGCCTTAATATGTCTTGCACCTTTACATATCCAAATTGCAGCAGCCTCTCTAGATGTAGAGCCAAGATGGAGAGAAGGTGATGTAAAACTGGCCTTGTATACTTGAAAAAGTAGCAAGATTTCTTAAGCTCATCTCTGGCACGAGGATTGACCATTTCAGTGGATGAAATTGAAGAAAATAGAGCCCAATGACCATCAGTGTAATAAAGTGATCTAGGTAAGAGGCCCAAAGTTAGTCTTAAAACTGCAAGCCTTTGAGTCCTGTAAGCTAGGAAAAGGCAACTCTTCACATAATCAATCATTTCTGCACTGGTTGGCTAGTTTGCTACTGTGCTTACTAGATCAGAGCTTTCCATCCAGCGGTGGATGCTGCAAAACTGCTGTTATCTTCATGGCAATTTTCGAAACTGAAAACTTGTCTTTCTTCAAAATCATCCCATTTTTCATCGTGTTGATATTTTTTTCTGATCAGCACATATTACCCAATACTGTTTTTCCAGAGGTAATTCAAAGCCCATAACAGTGTTTTCATTTTCTTTTACACTTACTGGCACGTAAAAACAAACAAACAAATCCTGGAAAGCAATACAGTTTAAAGATGGTTGTTTTACAGCAACTCCATCCATATCATCCCTTATGAGATAACACTCAGCTACGCCAAGTGGAAGCAAGATTTTATTCCCCAAAACAGGGAACTGACAGAAGTCAAACCACAAGTCACCTCCCAACACATTCCTTTCCCCTCAGAGAGGGCACTCCTATAATTTCAGCATTCAGCAACATTTTAGCTTTTACAGACAGGACTATTTCTGTCTTTCAGTCATGCTGCCATTTATAACAAGATTCATCACTGAAGCAAGCACCTTTTTATCATTTCTTTATGTCACATACTTCCCTATAATCAGTCCCCAAACACGCTGTTTAACTCAGATTAATTCACAAGCACACAGTGTTATTAACACATCCTCCTTGCTTAGAACCATGAAGGCCTAAGGTAAAATTATGGGGTAACAGCAAAGAAACTGGTATTAGTCAGAGGCTGCCTAAAGGAAGAGCAAGAGATCTGTCATTCTGAGGAGAGAGAGAAATGAATAAATTCTGATTGTCCCTATCGAGGGAAATCTTAGCACCTCCCCGTTTGGAGTTAAAATGGTGCTTGTGCTCCCTACTCTCCAGATACCAGTTCTCTTAGTTCCTCTGTGACTTGACTTAACTGGGTTTATCAGTGGGAGAGAGAACCACACCAGCCCGATTAACTGCAGGTAAAACATCTTGACTTGAACGGAGCTTTAACCACCGTGAATTTCGCTCTTCGGACATCGAGCGCTCTGCTGCGATACAGGTTGCATAACCCTTTGGCTGCTGGATAATTCACTGCTAAAAGTAGATTTAATTGCTCAGACCTCACCTAGCTCATCATCCTCTGAATGCAGGTACCTTTTGCCTCCCTCCCACCTCCCTCTAAATAACCAAGCTGCCACGGAATGATAGATGGAAAGCAGTAAAAGCATAAGGTGCACTAACCTCCCCACTTCCTCTTTGCATGTGGGCTAAACCTGCCTCCCTAGAAGGCTGCAACCTAAACTCCTACCTATTCCCTCCTCAGCAGGAGCGACCTGTATTGAGGCACCCTCTGGCCTCTGCTGATTTTAGCAAACACTGATGGCCACGCAAGCCGTAGCCGTCCGCATGTGCGCACAGGGGCTCTGCAGAGAGCGCATGGAGGAAATGAAAGTGTAAAGCAAAACACAGAATCAAACGTGTTTGCCACCCTGCAGAGACACATGGACTGAGCAAGAGCCATGGGAAAGCACTTCAGTCCTGGAGATGGGAGCTGATTTCTGTTGGGTCACACCAATGCTGGGACACTCCAATCAGCCCCAGTGGGGACACCAGCGTGGGAACAGCCTTCGCCTGCTCCCTTTGCTCATCAGGAACCAAGAAGCACAAGTCGTTTCTTGTGAAACAAGTACACTACAGAAACCATCTAAAAGCCAGGTCCATCAGTGAAATCAAATTGCACAAATCTGATTTGGATGTGGATTGGAGGCAGAGTTCTGGATTTATTTCCTTATACCCTCCTCAAGCTGAGGAAGTTCTCTAATTTGGAGAAAGGGAGGAAAAGAAGAAAAGGTTAGAAGGAAATGCTTGTCATAAATGATCAGCAGTGGCCAAATTTTTATTATTTTTATTCTACAGAACTGACATTTAAACTCTGCAGGAAACCAAAATAAGAACTAAGCCGAGTGAGAGTGCAGGATCAAAACTAAAGACAGGGCTTAGGTTAGTATTTACTCTGATCAGACAGGAACTAGAAGAGACCTGAGCCTTCTGCTTTTAACAAGGCTGCTCGGATTGCTTGAGAAATAAGGGAAATAAGGGCATCATGTTGTCCATGATCCTTGGGTTCCTCTGGATTTCAGAAAAGATCTCGTGTATCCTTTGCAGCAGCCAGTGCCTTGACTCAGCTCTCAAGGCACAGTGCACGTCTGCAGCCCTGCGGAGGATCATAGGGTGCCAGCTGCACTCAGCGTCTCTCAGAATCGAGCTCCAGACCCAAGGGAGGCAGGAGAGGCCAGGCAAGAGAGGACCTTCCAAAAGCAGGTAGTGATTACTTTCCCTCTGTCCCCATTTCACTCCCTCTGTGGCCACCTTTCCTCCTTCACCATTTTCTGCACCTGCCAATGCTTCCCATTCAAATAAAGGCAGTTTAAAGATCAAGTTGGATTACTAGTAAGAGATGGGTTTCAATATAAGACCCCTTAACTGCAGTGCGATTCTGTCACAATGACAGGGTCATTGGGTAGAAACCAGCCTTGGACAAAACCATTGGGCAGACAATGCCTGGACATGCGGTGGCACCCAAAGGAGCCATCCTGATGCTGCTGGAGTTCAGACTGCTCTCCGGATGCCCCAGCGATGGTTCATCTTTGGAAAGAAACGCCATTTGGAGAGTATGACTTGCAACACACTGGACTGCACCGGAGAACTGTTCTTCACCTGCATCTCTGAGTCATGTTTTTCTTTTCCATCCTTCACAAAAGGCTTTACACAAGAACACTCTTCTCCATCCCCAAATTTTATAAATAAATAAACCCTGGAGGCTTTACACAGACTGCTGAGTCTGCTCCCATGGGAGCAGATTCAGGTCTGTCACTACAACTTAGGTCTGCTTCTGAGTGCGTATGTTTGCACAGACCACTGCCCTGAGAAAACACCAGAGGCAAGCAGTGGTACTGGGTCCAGACTCCAGAGCCAGCATAAACAAGCTCTAACACAAGCCACACACCTCCTCTTCCATGTCACTCCCTTCCTTCCCTTTCTGCCTCCGTTCTCAGCCCTGATTTCCAGGTCCCCTCATCTACTACTTTGTTTTCACACTCACCGGCTGCCTCTTGACACTCAACCAGTTCTTCCACAGCAGGATCCTCAGATGCTGAGAGAGCGCAGCCATCCTTGGCTGACCCAGCCAAAAGCAAAGGGGCTGCTGCGTGTTCCTCCTCCCTAGGCTTACGAGGCAGAAGTGGAGGCTCTAACCCAGACGGGCATCCAGTGTCCAGTATCCAGGCCCCTGCCTCTTCCCCACAGCATAGCTCTGAAGCAGCTACCTCATCCACTTGTGGCTGCTGGACTGCCCGTAACTGTAGCTCTTGTCCTCACAGCAATCGCTCCTAGCAATTCAACAGGTTATTCCTCTACAGGCAGGCAGAGGCAGCAGCCTGCCTCCACTTGTGGTAATTATAATATCCAGCCTCTCCTGGCTGCTCTTTGTTCAAGCCCTAACCAATAAAATGGGGAGCATTCCAAAAAGATGCTTCTGCTTAAACAAAAGGAAAGGCAGGCCTCCTCCTCCTCCCCATGATGAAACTACCTATCTGCCCACACACTGCTTCTGCAGGAGAACTGTCATCAGCAGGGAAGAGTTAGGCCACTTGCCAGGCCGGTCTGACTTCCCCGGGATCACAGGGAATGGCTGGGATGAAGAAAGTATCAACAGGCACCGCACATGGTGTCCAGCCGCTGCTGAAGTGGAACTCGCTTCTCCATGCTTTTGAGTGTCTCAATGAATCCAACCCATTCAGAGATATTTAATGAAAAAGTTAAGATGTATAAAAAATCCCAGGGACTTACCCAATTGCTCAGCTGCCTGCATTTTCCATTTCTCTCCAGGGAGATGAGTCTTGTAGTTATAACTGCCTGAACTCAATATAACACATCAAGTGGGAATGGGACTGCAAGACAGGCCCCACATAAAGGCTTCAGAGTGTTAGTGGGACTCGA